GGTGGGTTATGTGGAGTCTACTTGAATGGCAAGCTATTGGGACAGTTTAGGGCATGTGGTGGGATCTCTATGGGAGCCCTGGAGGGCTGCACAGTGTGGGATTGGCTCCCTGCATTCTTACGGGGAGATGCTGACACTGGTGAATGCCTGGAAGGTCCTGATTGAGTCAGGAAATTAAAGCCCAGGAGGGTGGGGCTTTCAGGGAGAAGTGATGCTTTAGGGCAGTGATTTCAACCTTTTTTCATCTCATGGCACACATAAACTAATTACTAAAATTCTGCAGCATAACAGAAAATATGTTTTTTGCCTATCTGACAAAAAAAAAAAATAGGTGTAATTTTGATTCACTGACACCAGATGGCTATTGCTGTGTTGGCTGTTATCGTTTTATTTCTTTGACAATCTAAGGGGAAAGAGCTCAGTGCCCTGATTAAGTTGTCGGGTATTGCATATTTGAGAAATTCTTTCAGCACATGAGTGTGCCACGGCGCACCGCTTGAAAATCGCTGCTTTAGGGGATTTTGAAACCAAGAAAGACATTAATGCTGGTGTGTGTGAGTGGGAGTGTACGTGTGTGCTCTCACTGGCCAACACCATTCAACTTGACTTCTGGATCCTCCCTCACCTACCCGCTCCCTCATTCCCTACCTCCCCTCAGCCCTCACAAGAGGACTGGTTTCATGTTTCGCTTCCCTGGGCTGGTGAGCCCCTGGAGGGAGCCCTACCGGTCAGCAGAGCCCAGCACCTTGTAGCACGCCATAACTTTTTGAAGAAAAGAAGGAAGACAGTAACTGTGAATGAATGAATGAATGAATGAATGAATGAATGAATGAATGAATCAGGGCACATAGTGACTATGTGAGTGAATGAACTTTTGAATGATGGTTGTGGGTACAGTAACTATTTGTGAGTGAATAAATGTACCAGGGTCCTGAGTAATTGAATGAATGGATGGATGTGGGTGCATAGTAACTGAGTGAATGAATGATTGATGGCAGAAGTAACTGTAAATTAATGAATGAACAAATGTGCACTGTGTCTGGAGGCCACTATGGGAGACTGAGAAGAAGCCCAGACCAGGCTGAAGGATTGGAAAGGTGTGAGTCAGAGATCCTGTGTGTTGGGCGTCGCAGCATCTGAGGAGTTGAGCAAGCTCCTGGAGAGGTGGGCTGTGTAAGGCCACCATGCTGGACGATTGCTTCGGGACAGTTGGGGTGGAGCAGTCTTGACCCTGGGACAATCAGGGGGCTCTCAGGTCACTTGCTCCCAGTTCAAGGACTTCTAAGGGCATGCAGGATGGTAGGAGCACACTGTGTGTCCGTCATGGCCAGGTCCACAGGCATATGGGATGGGGTTCATAAGGTGCCCCCCAGGGCTCACTGCATGACTGGGTTTGGGGACATCACTGAATCTTGTAAGGGGTTCCCCTTCAGGGCAACCTAAGATCCTTGTTCCCGGCCCAGCTCCTGAGACCAAGACTCACAGGTCCCAGACAGGACTGGGAGGCCCCACCAAATAAGTCTTTAAAAGGGACCACAGTGGCTCCAGTGATCTGCGTCCCAGGCTAGGGTGGGGTACTGCTCAGCCTAGAGGTCCCATGGGTGGGTCCTGAGAAGCAGGTGAAGCCTACTGCCCGGGGCTGCCGTGAGGGGTAGACCGTGGCCCCAGGGTCTACTCTGCTTAATAACCTCAGGCAAGTCACTCTGACTCCCTGCCGCCCCTCCCCTCCCATGAAGCAGCAGATAGAAGGGTCTTGAGCCCCTGGGGTCCCGAGGAGGGTAGGTGCAGCCGTGGCTGTGCTTGCCACCCAGCAGGTGACAGTTCTCTTTTGTCTGGAATGAAATGGGCTCGCCTCAAGACATACTGAACTAGGCAACACTGGGGGTCTGTAGGGAGAGGAGGGGTGTGTTGTTGCCCTGAGCAGGGTCAGCTGGAGGATAGGGAACCCGTGATGGGCTGTTCTGGTGACAAGCAGCCAGCCAGGTGGGCCCTCGTCTGCCCCAGCCGTACCCCAAACCCACATACCAGCCCAGATCAGTGGTCACTCAGGATGCTTCACCTTGGTCCTTGCCACCCGCCTGGCACTCGGCAGCAGACCCAGCCCCCACTCGGGTCCCTCATGCATCAAAGGCCAAGGTCAGGGGCAGGGTGGTCAGGCCGACAGCAGAGATGGAAAGGCAGAGATGGAAAAGCTGATGGCATGGCGGGGCCAAGTAGATATGGGCATCCACCCAACCAGCCAAGTGTGAGGGACAGGCCCAGGCCGGAGCTGCCAGTGGGGAGGGGGACCTGGGTGGCAAAAAGGAGGCATTGGCAGCCCCAGGAGCCAAGCCTCTGCCAAGGAGGATTAGGCCATGGAGCCCCAGGTCCCGCAGGAGAATAGAGCCCTTGATGGGAGAGGAGCCCAGGTGCCAGGGGCTCTGGGAGTGCTGCTGTGACGGCTATGCCTGCACTCAAGGCTAGGGAGTAGCCTGGCTGTTGAGGTCCTGTCCTCTGTGTACTGGGCTGGTGCCCGGCGGTGGGCCCATGAGGGTGACGGGGGCCCGGGCAGGCTTGATTAGGCCTTAGTGGGGAGGCCTGGGGGCTGAAGGCGGGGTGAGAGCCCAGGCTTTGCAGCAGCAGACCTGGGTTCCCATCCCAGCTGAGATACCTTGGGGGGCACAGTGGGGACCACGGGAGAGAAGGTTTATCAGGTGACAGAGGGGCCTGCTCCCCAGCCAGGGCCACTCCTCAGTGCAGAGGCCCAAGTCTGAGCCACCTTACCCCTCTCATCCTGCAGGCCTGATCACCTCCGCCTACAGTGTCGCACTCAAGCCCCCTGACTCCTTCCTGGAGGGAGTGGCCAGGACAGGACGGTACACATTTACTGCAGGTGAGTGAAGGGTGTGTGTGACTCCGGGCCCATGACTCAGTGCCCGCCCCTTCCTATCTGCCCCACAGCTGCCATTGGTGCCGTATTTGGCATTGCCTCCTGCGTCAGTGCCCAGGTCCGACAGAAGCCCGACGACCCCCTGAACTACTTCATTGGCGGCTGCGCTGGAGGCCTGACCCTGGGAGCACGCAGTGAGTGAGCTCCCCAGCCCTGCCCTCCACTGAGCCTCCTCCCTCTGTGTTCCATCCCTGACCGGGGACCAGGCAGGGCTGGCTGTTTAGAGGAGGGGGCAGTCGCCATGAAAGCTCCCAGTGCTCTAGTCACCAGCCAATTCAATAACAGTAACACCTGCTGCTGCTTAAGCACCTACTGTATCCCACCTCCCCAAGTGCTTCCCTCCTCCCTTTCTGCCCCTTGCTCATTCTGCTGCAGCCATACAGCCTCCTCCGTGTTCCTCCAACACACCAGGCACCGTCCTGCCCCAGGGCCTTTGCACAAGCTATTCTCTCCTTGAATGTCCTTCCTCCAGATGTCAGCATAGCTCTCTCTCTCACCAACTTCTCTGTGTATGATCTCAGACCCCTACTACCCTCACTCCATTTTTCACTCCTTGGTTGCGCTTTGTCAGAGAATTTGAGGTCACTGCCTGTTTCCGCCACCAGCCTATAAGCACGAAGAAGGTGGTGCTGGTTCTTGTACTACATCCCCACTTTACAGATGTAAGGACTAAGGCTCAGGGAGGGGGCTGAGGTGGCCTGAGGTCACCTGGGATCCAGCAGAGCATGCCTCGCTGGTAGAAGGGTCTAGCCCAGGCTAGCCTGGCATGGTGGAGCCCCCTGAACGGAGCACGGTCCACACACAGCCCGACTCCAAATTCCTGGGCATTGGAGCAGAGAGCCCCAGATGGCCTGTCCCCATCTGACAGGTGGGTGACAGGCCACCGAGAGCCTGCAGGGCAGGGGCCCCTGGCAGCAACAAGAGGAGACTTGAGAGCCTCACCGGCCGCCACCTGTCAGGCACAGTGATTTAGGCAGCCCCACAACACTGGCCGACAGCCCCAGAGGCCACACGAAGATCAACTGCCCTGGCCCAGCAGGCTGGGAGTGTCAGTGGAAGGTGCCAGCCAGCAGAGAGGGAGGGCACTACAGAGGGGGAAGCCCACACTATCCTGCCTTTGCCTTTATTTTTTTTTAATATTTTATTTTTATTTTT